ATTTGAATCTAAAGAAGCATGAAAAAAATGTTCCTTAGAAAAATCCCATTTTAGAAAACTATTATGATAGTATTGGGGCTTAGAGTACGAAGTACACCATTATTGGTCCATTCTTTAGGGAAATCCTTGCAAGCCTACTTGATGTATTTCTTCAGGTCCTTGTCCCTGCTGGGTACTAGTAAGTGTGTGAGGTCCAAAAATGCTCGTTAGGAAAATCCCATTTTAGAAAACCATTATGATAGTATTGGGGCTTACAATATGAAGTGGAAACACTATTGCTCCATTCTTTAGAGAAATCCTCGCAAACCTACCTGATGTATTTCTTGAGGTCCTTGTCCCTGCTGGGTAAGTGTGTGAGGTCCAAAAATGCTCCTTGGAAAAATCCCATTTTTAGGTCTCGGACCGGAGTTTCCCTCCGTATTTCGAGCAATTTGACACCCTCAGCCCGACGGGCTGTCATTTCTGTACTAAACGCGGGTCGGAATTTTTCACTCTTTTGGTGGAAAGGGGTGCCGTGCCGCTTATCAATACACTTGATTGATATTTTCTGCGCCCAATTTATTTAGGGGTAAATGAGGCACATCAAAGTACATTTTGAAAAAAGGGGTCATTTTTTTCGTCATTTTTAACCATGGCTGCATGAAAAAAACGAATTTTCCCAGGGTAACGGCTTAGTACTCGAAGAAGCTCAGAACCTAATGTTTCCAAAATTCGAATTTAATTAAAATCGATGCGATAAGTTTATCGCTATCTTCAATGGCCCGAACACACCCAGAACGCATATAGAACGTACCATCCCGGCGGTCAGGCGAAAAGGCCACATAACCATCCGCGCGGACGAATACCAGGAAGTCTTAGCTGGACCACCAACATTACGCCACCTATAAAGGCTACAACTAACAGGCTTTTCAGAAAATACAAAGATATGTACACAGATATTACGATTTCAGGGATATCGCGGCCAAAACATACCATACAAAGTCACGTTTCCGGCGATTTACTGCGCACTTACTTAGACTCTGGTCAGAATTAAACTCCGACCCGGAACCTTAAGAAAACCATTATGATAGTATTGGGGCTTACAGTATGAAGTGGGAACAACATTGCTCCATTCTTTAGGGAAATTCTTGCAAACCTACCTGATGTATTTCTTGAGGTCCTTGTCCCTGCTGGGTACTAGTAAGTGTGTGAGGTCCAAAAATGCTCCTTAGGAAAATCCCATTTTAGAAAACCATTATGATAGTATTGGGGCTTAGAGTACGTACGAAGTACACCATTATTGGTCCATTTTTTAGGGAAATCCTTGCAAACCTACCTGATATATTTCTTGAGGTCTTTGTCCCTACTGGGTAAGTGTGTGAGGTCCACCTCTGCGTGGGGTAGGGAGAGGTTCTTTTGCAGCAGTCCCTTGTCGACCCACGAGGTGAACACCAAGACTCCCTCCGTCTGCTTGGAGTCCCCGTTCACGCCTATCCTCGGCCCCTCCTCAAACGTGGACACGTCGTAGGTGAAAACTTTCATGCTGCTATTCTTCCTGCATCCACGTCACTTAAACCCTGAAGTAATGACGAAATGGAGCCCATCTTAGAGAGGCTAGCTGATCCTCATAAAGAGGGGTCACCTTGTCTGGATCTCTGATAAAGGCATGATGTACACATAATCAAACTATCCTGCAGCTAGCCTCCCTCGGTGACTTGGCACATACGCTGGGCGATGTTCACGGGCAGCCTAAAAATTCTATGTGTATCCCATATAGAGACATGTAAAATGAAGGCATATATTATGTAGTCTGACTCATAATGTATGTCATTCTTTGATACAATATAACACAGCTATGTAATTGTATTGGTTGAGATGTAATTCAATATGATGTATTTCATCAGAATATCTAAATTGTAAAGATAGCTTTGTATGTACATTTCACCAAATACAATTTTCATTGTAGGAAAATGTACTGACGCTGGTGATGTAATTTAAAAAAAAATTACTGTTTCAAAATTTCTGAGTCACTGAAAAGCCAGAAAATTAGACCTGTTACTCTACATATGTGAGACGTGATTTGACTGTAAGCAATTTCACTTTATTATTTGTAAACAAACAGGTAACAAAAAGTGGTACATTTTGTCTGATTTCCTGAACTTACAGTGAGATTTTCATCAAACAAAAATAACATTATACAGCCTACAACACTGACTTCATCATGTTTCAAACCTAAATTATTCATAAGCTGGTTAAACATCAGGATAACGTGATTCATAGGAGATTACAGCATACATGGTGAGCAGTCAAGCAGAGCATGATATATTTACCTTGTCTCCTCCTGAACACTGTGGTCAATCAGTACTTTTCCTCTGGGCTCTGTACATGAATGGGGCACAGACTTTCTTCAATTTGAACTTCAATTATTTAAGTTAGACATAAAAAAGAAGCCATCAATTTTTCGAAATTGAATTACGTAGCCATTAGTTATTTTCACAATTGAATTAGACACGGGTTGATTTGGTACAACACACTGACGAATATAATCTTACTTCATAATTACAAATCATATTATACTACTAGATAGCTTCTTCCTGTTAAATAGGAATCTACTGCATGTACTAGAAAGTGATTGGGCGATCGAGTACTATTTAGCCAATGAATGAAGTGCTTGCAAATGAGCCTTGGAAAATGGAGGGCAAGCTCCAATGCTTTACTCTGATCAAGGGGGTTTAAAAATCATGCTTGCTCTGATCTGTAGCCTGAACAGAACGTAGAACGTTTCCAGGAGGATCTGATAGTGATATTGTCCAGACAGTAGGTACCTCTGCCTGTATTAACATATAAATCCTTCAACCTGCATGAAGCACACTCAAAAAGCTGTTTTAATTGCCTCCATGGGAGGGGTTACTACACTCTAACCAGTCTGCTGACGTAAGCGTAAATTGAAATGTAAATTTCTCCTCGGTGCTCTATTGTACGCCACAATGCAAGCCAGCATAATGCTTGTGTACAAATTCTGTGATGACAGGGTTTTATGCAGAGCAAATTTCCTCACTGGGGCAGATAAACAACGTATCAGCAGCAGAGTTGAATACATGTATTTCCCAAGTGACCAGCCTAAGGGGACACTTCTGTCTCCGAACAAGTGCAGATAGTGCTAAGAAGATGAATGTCAGGGTTCTCCCGAAGGCCTAAGAAAAAAATGTTGTGTTTCCTGTTTCCCAACCGACCCTAGAAAAAAATGCCGACCCGAGCCTTTTTTTGTGTGAACCCCTGCAAGGATATTGTCTTTTTTTTTAGCTGATCGACCTTTTCTAGCTCCATGATCTGACACCTGAGTGATGAAAGGCTGTACAATCAGTTTTCCAACACTGACATTAAAAATACATGTGTAAGTGTCCTCATGCATGTTTTACTTTTACTGTATTGTTTCAGTTCAATCACTAGAGATTGCTAAGTCTAATAAAAAAGAAGGAAGAAAAAAAAAGATAATCCCTACCTACCGACCCTAATTTTTTCAGGACTGAAACAGGAAAAACAACATTTTTTTTCTAGGCCTAAGCAATGGAATAATGGTACTGATTCGCCTTCATTTCACAATTTATGATTCAGACAATTGTGAATACATCTATTGCTTCTTTTTGGCCAAGCTTCACTCTCCTCAGAGTGACAGCACTGAATGCTCCTGAATGCTCGTATGGTACCATAAAAGGTTGCTTCAGATCTAATTGAGATTCACATGTGTATTGATCCCAGCATTTGTCTATGGCAGATGACAAGTGATGAATGGCCACCTGCTGCTGGTAACAGCAACGTGACCCTATTTGTGATTTCTCTCACTGTACAAATTCAGCTTAGGGTAGCTTGGATGCCAGACCCTGGAATGTGTGGATCAGGACCTAACTGAGGGGAGCTATTGTATAATTTCCTGTGTAGCCCCTGGAAACAGCCTGGCACCCAGGCTATGTTTAGGATGGTGAGAACAGTACAGATATTCAATGAAGGATCACAGAGACTATAATTCCTGATTTGTTCACTGTACTGATAAGTTCACTGTTTTCACTGTTGCTTCTGTACAGTGAACTTATCATTACAGTTAACAAATAATTCCCGGACTCTCTTTTTTCTGCACCTGTCACCACCGTGAACATATAGTTCCGTGAACATGTCCATTTTTCTCAGACCGTGAAATTTTACTACCGTGAACATAAAGTGAATTACAGTATCTCACTACAGCCTCCTTCGTTTCGTACTGACCGTGGTTAAACCCTACTTCACAACTACCCTAGATTCATAACAGTAGTCAGAGAAAACGTTAATAGGGTATTGTGTATTGACAACCACGATTGGAGACATCAATTCTATATCATGTCCTGTAGCTGTGTGACAGAATATATTTACAGACATACAACTCGAGGTAATACAAACTAAGGTGCGCTTATCGACCTGTCGTTGTACAGGAGGAAGAGTTATATGTAGATCCCTTTTCCGGTAAAATCCTGGAGAAGAAATTTCGTAGCGCCTAGCCCTGTCGGCTTCTTCGGTATGCACCCCTCGAGCTAGGCTTCAGCTTGCTTCACCCTTAAACTCACATATCCCCCATCCTCTCACGTTCAAACAAATCCAGGTGGTTTGATTGTATCGAGCGCACGCTGAACGACTTTGGAAGTGACCTCCGCGCTCCAGTCCAAATCTGGGACATTTTTCCCCCCTCCCCAGCCGCCTGCCCTTTGATGCAAGATACTTCTTGTTCTCACGCCGTTGTCAGATGTCAAAAGCAACGACCAGGTTTCTTACCTGCTTGCGTTGATATATTCCTCTCTGCGATGGTTCTGGCGCCGTCTAGGCTGTAAAATCGGCGTAAAACCTTGACAGCAATTTAAATCCCCAACCCAAAGGCGCCATTTTGGAAATCTGCCAGGGGGATGACGGGTAATACAAAAGCGGGAACACAAAAGTTGTTATTTCTATTATTCAAAAGGCAATTTAAGCCTATAATAGCAGCCTGAGATATCATCATTAAGTCTGACAGATGGTCTACGTTAAAAATACCAATAGTTTATGATTATCTGACTTGATCGATTTATAACCTTTGACCTCAATAGTGTCTCCCGGGAATTTTGGGAGGGAGGTGCGAAAAGTCACGCGGCTTGGAGCGAGTTGTCAAACTTTGACAGACAGAAGTTTCGTCATTCCCAGGCTTTTCAGTCGTGGTTTTAACGTTTGCCAGGAACATGTCGACAGGACGTGGTCGCGGGAGAGGTTTTGGGAGGGGACGAAGCTCGGGAACAAGCGGGAATGTTGGTGGAAGCGCGGCGGGGGACTCTGCGTCGCGCCCCGGCGGGCTCATGAATAGAGGACCGACGACTCCAAACGGGACCGTTACTTCTTCTGCTCTTCAAACTAACGATGCTAAGGGTGGGTCAGGCTTACAGAACAACTCAAGGGAAACACACGAGACACGGTTAAAAGGTTCTTTGTTTTTTCGTTGCTCATAAGCTGCGATAAATTATCAAGTTGTTGATCCTGAAGTACACAGTGATTTATGGCTAATTTGCATATCCTTGGAGGGTGGGTTAGGGGGTTTACAGTTTGCCTGACAAGGATTTTTTTCTCCCGTACCCATCTATTGACATGACATGTAAATAATACATTGTATATATATGAATTATGAAGTATGTTAAACTTTTATTTTTGACTTAACTTTTTTTATAGTTATACCAAATGTTTCTTGTGTACTTGCAATTAACCTTCGGACATTAATTTGCAATAAAACATATCAATAAAAAAAAGTAACAAAAAGTGGTTTGACTTGGAGATCACACTTCTATATCTGGTGGAAGGCCAATGTAAAATCGGTTGAGAAGTTTTCTTGTGTGATGGTTCGAGTTTAGAACTTTCAATATCTTAGATTAAATTATGCCATGGATTTTCTCTAACACAATACATGTAATAGGTAACCAAATGGATCAGTCGAAGCCCCAGAAAGGTGATGTCGTCATGATGGCCAAATACAGCTACAAAGCCAACCCTGATCAACCTGGCGGCTTTCCTGAACTGTCGGTGAAGCAGGCTCAGATGCTGACGCTCGTCAAGAAACATCCAAACAACGAGCACTGGTGGGAAGCCAAGAACGAGGATGGGGATGTGGGTTTTGTGCCCGCGTCCTATATGATGGTGAGGAGAGCTTTCATCATCATCATCATCATCATCAATAGATGTCACTAACCAGGGTTCGAAATACTCACTTTTGTACTCTCGCTTTGCAAGTCATGGTTTCACTGTGAGACATACTATTGGAGATGCCAGGTTGCCCGTTGCAAAAGTTACAGTTTCTGAAATGAAGTGCCGCTCACATGCTTGCCATGTTCCGTTTTCAATTTGGCAAGCATGTGAGCGGCACCTTGACAGGTGGCCTGGCTTATGGCGTGCCTTCTAAAATACTAGTAAACAGCCGGTGTTGATGGCAGCCTGAAATATTATTGATGGGCAACCTGAGAAAAAAAGGATAATTATAATACATTTCAAACCCTGCTAACTGTGAGATAACAAATATATTTGTACTAATTAGAGACAACCAAGTGTTCATACCTAGCTGTGTCGCCCGTCTGTCACCCTCCTGACTGGTATCCAGTACTGACTGGTTCTACTTCGTACTGGGTGTTGTGAAGGATTTTCCCGGAAACTTCTGCCATGTGAAGGATTTTCCAGGAAATGGTCAAACAGTAATTTTGCCATTACCCATAGTCTGACTAACTCTAATCATGTATCATATAGGACTTTCTATGTAATTTAACAACTTCCATTTGCTGCTATATCATTCCTATGCAGTGCTCCAAATTAGCCTGGTTGCCATCCTATGTAGTTTCTGCCAGCTTCCTACCTCTGTGGTAGCCAGGGACATTAGGGAGCTGGCAGAAACTATCGAGGAATCTGGATGGTACCCAGGCAAGCTCCAAATACCCACATACAACCTGAAATCGGCAATTTCCAGGAGAAATATCAGCAGCTCATAACTCGGCCACCTATAAAAAAATCCATGGCTTGGTATCATGAATCATGGTAAAATAGCTGAATACTAAAGCCTAAATTGCTAGAACAGGTTTCTGTCAAGGATTTGCAACTTTGACAGTTCCTGTTGCACTGTAGATTGCCTAGCATGTGGAAATGACTACATTAAATTTAATGACAAGCAAACACACCAAAAGCAAAGCCCCAGTAGAGGGATAATCTAGCCTGTTGTTGATCTAGGTCTAGGTAGGTGCTTTTACAGATGAGAAAAGATGCATTGGCCTTTTCACCTCAGGTATGGATGTCGTGCTGTTTGAATCATTATCCATGCTGAAACAGCAGCAACAATCCCTACATAATGGCCATGTCACTGCCTTATGGCTTCCCTTGCGAGAAAGATTTTCTTATACAGCCATGCCCCAGACTGTAATGTCTGCACAGGGACTTCATTTTCAGTGTTAGAAATACCCACCTGCAGTCTGCATTTTGCAGAGACATTTTATTCAATATTGCAGAAGAATAATTAAGCAACCTGCAATGTTACAGACTGAAAAACATAATGCTTCAGGTTCAATTGTGTTCACTTCCGTGCATATGGCCACAGTTTTGCCCAGATGTGCCACACAAACAAGATATCTTGCTTCTGAACAGAAGCCAGAAAGCGCAGTTTCTAGGGGCAAATTAAGTTCTTTTCTTACTGTTATTGGGATAATTGCTATAGAAAAACTTCTACCAATCTGAAAAGATTGTATGTTTGCAGAACAAAGTTTTGACATTCTGCAATATTGCAGAATACTGAAAAAAAAAGGATTTCTACCATTGCATTTTGAAGCTACATCTATGTCGGCATGAACATTGGTGGAGAAAGAATAAATTCTAATGGATATCAATTTGTTTTCTAGGTTCCTGGACTTGCTGCTTCATTTTTCATCTGATTTGAATAAAGATATATTTATATAAAGACCAATGTACTGTTTAAACATTAAAACATTAAAAATGCTCATAGTTTAGAACCAACAGTTGACAAATTTGAAGGAAGTCATTGCCATCCTAGTTTATTTGATTTTATTCATCATCAGCATGTGCATTGTCTGAAACATTCACCAGCCATGAATGTTGACTTTGTAGATACTATGAGGCATTTGGCTCTATCATAGGATTCATTTTTATTGCCCCAGCTGGCACCGTTATGTTTGCAAAATTCAACAACCAGAAAATTGACTTGGTGTGGCCTAATGGGCTAACTGCAGTAATAGGAACATCTACAGGCAGTTCAGAGTGTCTGAGGCTATTAAAGGGTTACTGTCTGCCCATTTTATGTTGGGATCATGACAGCAGAGGTTGCAATTTTCCATTGCCCTGTCAAAGGGTACTGTAATTTCACCCCATCTTCAATTTCCTGCTGTATTCTTGTCTGTTGCCTTACTTTATTAGCCTGGCTGCCATCTTATTGATATGCCCGGGCTACCGTCGCCCCCTATAGAACATTTTAGGGATCAAGTATGGGAACCCCAGGTACTTAGCATGTCTAGATCACGAGATATCAAAACTGGGAGTTCTGCTGCAGTACCTAGGAAAGCCGCCAGGGGGCCCAAAATCTAATCATTTCTAGGTCTCATGAAGACCTACCCGTCTACCAAGTTTCATAACAACCCATCTAAAGCTTCTTTTTAAAAGTTATCGTGCTAAACCACATACATACACCCACAGCCACACACAAACAAACACTACTGAAAACATACCCTTCTTGGTGAAGGTATAATAATGAATAAAAATAAGAAATTTACACCTCGTGATACTTCACAGAAGAATTACTATCAAATCTTCATTTTCTTTTCTTTTTTTTTTGTGTCAGATCATGGAACAGAAACCGACGTCCCTTCCATGGCTCCAGAACAGAGAACCGGAGGAACCGAAGGAGCCTGAAGTCAACAGTAAAGTTAAACCTAATGTGTTCGGCAGGCCACCTCAAGGTACACTTACTCCCGTAGTATACATGTATAACTGTGCATATCGTCCCTTTCATATACAGTTTGTATACTGTAGTGTATATTGTTCCTTTCATATACCATTTATGTACTGTCAGTCTTGAAATGTTGGCAGTGGCACTTTTTTTACACCACAAATAAGCATTTCCATTGTTTTACAACTGTGGTGCAGAATTGTTTCATCCTCAAGCTTAATTTCAGCAAAAATCTCATGTCTGACTCCCTTCCAAGCATGAACTTAAGTTCAGTAATATTGTTTCATATCCTACAGGATCATACAAGCCATACAAGTCAGCCTATGCTGATGTCAGAGCGAAGGACAAAGAGAGGGAGAAAGAACAGTATTACTGCAAGGTAAAAAATATTGGTTATGTACAAAATGTACAATGTCATACGTACATACATGTATTTTCAAAAGTATTATGAATGATCACAGCTGTTTTGCACCTTATATAAACCAGTGAGTAAATGTAGTGTATTATTACTAAGAATATTGCTATTTTCTGGACATGCTATGCTCATGGTTTTTGAGTACATTTGTAACTTATTTATACTTAGCACTGGAAGATAAAAAGACACAACCTTAGACCTCCTAGTAGCTTTCTCCAAAACTGCAGGGGTGTTTCATTGTAGACTTTGAAACAGGACAACTTGAAAAGGGATGAATGTAGTTTCATTGTCACTGTTTTTCAGGTATGTGAGAAACAGTTGAACGGTCCCAAGCCGTACGGAGCTCACATGGCCAGCAAAGCCCACAAGGAGAATGTGGAACTAGAACAGGAGATGGGCAGGGTCTCCCTGTCATAAGCTTCTGTCTCCAGCACGTCGGCAGAACGTACTGCGTCTGTGCAGAACCCTGGATTTTCGTAGTTTTTGTTGGATTTTTGGTCAACGTTGCATCAGAATTTTGCCTTTTGCACACAACATTTCTTCTGACATAACATTTGGAAACTACTGTCGGAAGGCTAACCTTCTATGTGCGAATATGACCTTATACATGTATGAGACGTTCTGCTGAAGTGCTATGTACAATACATTACGGGTTTTGCGCAGGTGCAGTACGTTCTACCAAAATGCTGCCATCTGCCACGTTGTGAAAAATGGTGCTATATCATTTACGTGTACTTTTCTGTCGCCTCACTTTGTTCCAAAGTTCTTTGTTGGAAATAGTTTCACAAGCTAGTTACTTCAGTTGTATGTTTTCATATTGAGGACATACACACTACAAGCTAAGTCAAACAAAACTTAGTGCTCTGCAGTACCAAAAGGTATATGGAACTGGCGAATCCTCTATTAAATTGACATCTTTTTCACAGAAGTAGTCCCTGAGTTAGACAGCTGTAAATTTGGGAGGTAAACATTTTTACAGTTTTATGTTCATGGTTGGAGAATTGGCAATACAATGGAAGCGTATTCACAGTGTCATGATGTTACACTTCAGAAGACAGCCTTGAAAATCTGCATGCAGTACCGGTAACTCCTTTTTAGAAAACGTAGTGATATTTGCTTATCAATTAACAGAGTTTCAACATTTTAAAGCCTTTTTTATGCAACAGTTGCGAGTTCCAATTTGAATCAACAGTTGTATCAGGACATTTGTACTATTAGTAAGCAATACTCTTTCTGTTGTGTATCGAAAGAACAAGGACATTTCCATGGTGTTGATACAAGGGTTTATTTCACAGCATCTAAAACCATACTAAGATCTACAGTAATGAATGGGCAGTCAACTTGCCAAGACATGCAAAATACCTTTCACAAATTGAAGGTCTGTACACCTCTTTGCAGAGAAACTAAGTAATGTCATACAGGTCAGGATCATCTAATACTACACCTAGAGTTTCCTTACTTTGGTAGTTTTTTTTTATATGCTAGTATGATGAAGTATTGTTGGGTAATAAAGTTTACATTTTAATAACATTGTTTCGTCTTCCGTGGATAAGGTAAAAAGTCTAGCTACATTTATAGTGGTTATAAAAGCAGAAACTTTTTTAGGTGTCTGTAAAACCCCTTTTGAAGCCTTGATTTGAAGTATCTAACAAAACAATCATGTACAAATATTTTAATACAAAAACAACCATCTGCAGCGCAGTGTTAAGGTAGTTGGTAGTTCAGCTGCTAGGGGGCATTAAAGTAAAGAGTGCTAAACAGTATCAGAAAGCCCACAGCACAGCTTCAAAGAGGTAGAAGTTAAATTGTAATATCAGTTCCATTTGCCCCTGCAAGTTCAAATTCTTTTTCCAACTTGGGCATTTGACAATTTTGTCCATACCAATTTTTTAAAATTTCATACCGACATAATTCTGAAAATACAGGAAAAAACTTTTCTCACACTTCTTGTGAGCATGTGCAGTGTCACATATTACCAACAATTTTTTGCACCATGCTTGAAACTGTGAACAAGTTTATTATAATGCCATGGTTGGTTCATGCTGCACAGCTTGAAGAGTGCTAGTTTGTTGCATACTATTTGTAACATTTTACTAAGAAAGTTTTATACCAAAAACCACTCATAGGGGCAGTATGTAGCAGGCTATAGAACTAGTCATGTAATGAGCTGCCTCTAGACATGTAGATTAACTTGTACATACACTTATCACAACTAAAAAGATTAACACTATTGATAAATGAGTACCTACATGTATCAACATCTACAGTTATTTTAATGAAAGTAGCAAGCACATTTTGTTAAACAAATGTTGCGAATCAATAATTTACAAGAGACACTAATAAGGTCGATAAATTCCATGGGTGATTACTAATTACTTTTTCCCCACCATAAGTTTAATAACATGGAGGCCTAGACATAATGCTAGAATGGTCTAAAACTGCTCAAGGATTGTCTCAAGACTACAAAATGTAACTGCAGTTTTCTTTAAGACATAGTGGCCTATAGCTAAATGGCTTTAATACAACCTGTTCTAAATCATGGACAATTTCTCTATAAACATGCAAAAAAAGGAAATTTGAAAGACCGTATTCTGTTTAATATTTTGGTATGTTGTCATACCTCCATATGCCAGGCTACCTAAAATTGTCAGAGTTGTAATCACTTAAACATGCTTGTTAACACATCACACTCCCTACAGTGCTCCAACACTTGTTGTTTACTACGTCTAAGCATTCCTCCTTTAGCATAGTTTGATGTCGCAGACCTCCTCCATGACTTGGTTGGTGCCTGGCTTGATGCGGTAGCACCACGGGGATGCGAACCGCATGGGGTCGGGGTTGCGGCAGAAATTGTGCTTGTCGATGTCGTACATTGTCTTGAAGGGCTCGTTGGTGTAGGTTATGCCCATCACAGAGGTCCATTCATAGCACTTGGCTCCGGCTGTTGGAATATAAGGAAATGGTTACAAGGTGAAATTAAAAATAACGAGCAAAACCCCCATTTTTCACAGTTTTCGTTGGCTGTTTGGTCAACGATGCATCAGAATTTTGCCTGTTGCAGATAAAATTTGTTTTTGACATAACATTTGGAAACTACAGACTGTTTACCTCACATGTGGGAATACAATCTTATATGAGATGTTCTGCCAAAGTGCTATGCACAATACAGGTTTCGTGCAGGTGCAGTACGTTCTGCAGATGTGCTAAAATAACAGTCCTTAGCCTTGTTGAGGCTGTTGGGGCAGTGGATTTTGGATCCTTAGTGTCCTGGCCATGGAATCCGATGTTTGAGCTCATCCCTGACCATACCCAAACCAAAGTCAGGTACCCGTTTACTCCAGGGTCTCAAGGACACCATGAATCAAAACCTGTGACCCCCCAGTCCACATGTATATCTACTAGTTTAACTGCTAACACACCACTAAATGATTACAAAAACTTCGAAAATGGAATAGGGCAAATACTTCAACCAAAAGAGAAAGTTATAGCAACAATGACGTCTTTTCGAAATAAAGAAGGAAAGAACATCTGTTGGGGAAACTTAGTTCCAGCACATACAGCAGTGCATCTATCATTTGTACCAGATGACACAGATCCTGATCAAGAGTGACTTGTTGATTCAAACCAGTCGGATTCATTATCTCTGGAATGATTCAAGTATGTCTGTAAGGTCCTATATTGTCAAGATGGCCTAGAATCTAAACTTCGGTCAAACCTGCCCAAGCTAGGGACAGAGTGGTCTTCTTGGACTAGTGGCCATCTTGGGCAGGTCACTAAATGCATGTTACAATGGAAAAAACACTTAAAGAGGTTGCCACTTGGGCAGATTTGACTGTATTGTGTTTATTTTCACAAAGAAACATCAATCTTTATTTTCTAATATTATGTATTTATTGATACAATAAGTTTCAACTTACATCTTGTTGTGGATGTTTTGCCTCTGTAGGTATCACCGCGTCCCTGATAGCAGTCAGTCCCAGAGCCTGAAAAACATGTCCCCACATGAGTCCTGTATACAGAATGTACTTCAGGCATTTCTTTGCCTGAACCATTATATGTATATCTGGAGATGGGAATGCTCCAGATATGCATGAACAATGTACAACTGTTACTTCTGCTACAAGTAACGTTTCAGCTACATGTAATACAGGGCTGCTTATGCAGTTATGGTTGCAACAAGAAAAACAGGAAGCCACAACACTTTGTTACCAGGAAGCTCATAGAACATTTCTATCATAAATGATTCTTGTAGTTTAATTGTAGTTTTCTCCATCAGCCTGTCCAAACAAAACAACTTGTACCACACATTATTGGACCAGAAAGAGACCACATCAAGGGTAATCGCCAAGCAAATATGGGGGGAAGCTTACTACATTTGTAGTACGGTTGTTGAGTTGTTGTGGTTCCACTCAGTGTACAATACATGCCTGTACAAATGATAAGTATGCTTACTAGCAGGGATACTGATGACTGCAATACAGTATTGGATCAAGTGAGGTACCCTATACATGTATATGCATATCGCCTTACCTCCACACTTGAGTGGGTTTGTAGGTACAGACCAGGTCCCGTCCACCTGGCAGACAGTTGCAGAGAAGGCGAGTCTCCCCAGGTCAGCCTCGCAGGCCAGGTTACACACAGTACCGGGCGGGTACGCCCCTCCGTTGATGCAGTTGGAGATGATCATTTTGGGGATGGTCAGTGGGTCACAGGTCTTAATGGCTGGGTTAGGGTTGGTCAAACCTGGGAAAAGATGAGGGGATGGCATTAACATCTCAAAAAAAGATTATACAAGAATAACCTATCAATTGTGCATGTAATTCTTGATGTGTTTGTGTTGGTGCTATTTTCTTGGTGACCTTTTCCTAATGCACTACAGAATTGTTCCATCCACAAACTTACAATGCCGTATGTTATTATAATTACAAGACCGTTCCAAGTCACCACAGGGGTGTTACAAGGGGATGTCCTTGCCCCCTTCCTGTTCATCATACTTGTGGACTATCTGATGAAGAAATCCATTGAGGATACTTGCTCTGGTGTAGTTACACACCCTCGCCAGTCAAGTAGGCACCCAGCCAAAATCTTAAACGATCTAAACTTCGCTGACGACATCGCTCTGCTTGAGGCATCAATACCTAAGGCGCAATCACAACTCAATAGAACGGCTACTGCAGGAGAACAACTAGGTCTTGTCATAAGTGTTCCTAAGACCGAATACATGACCATCAACTGCAACCCACAGCCGCCACTGGAAGTGTATGGTCAGCCCATCAAACATGTAACAGACTTCAGATATCTAGGATCAATGATGGCATCCAGTAAGACCGACCTGGCCAGGCGGAAGGCACTCGCTTGGACCGCTTTCTGGAAACTTCAAAAGATCTGGAGAAATCCGACGTTCCCCACTGCCACAAAGATCAAGCTCTTTAATGTAACCTGTGTGTCGGTGTTCTTGTACGGTTGCGAAACCTGGGTGCTAACACGTGACATGGAGGACAAGATTAACTCACTTGCTACATCTTGCCTCAGAATCATGCTGAACATCAAACGTATAGACCACGTAAGCAACCGTGAACTATACAAAGCCACAAACACACAACCTCTGACCTTCAGAGTGAGGCAGCGGCAACTGCGCTTTATTGGACATGCCCTGAGGATGCCAGTAGAGGAGCCACTCAGGTCTTACGCCCTCTACGTCCCACCTCACGGCAGAAGGCGTCCTGGGCGCCAGAGGATGAGCTACCTGACTTATATCCAGAACATGCTGGGGGACACGGAAGGTGACCTGAGCCCTGACAACATTGCTGCGCTGGCTGCTGACCGGCGGTCGTGGAATGGACTTGTGATCGCCTGCGTTGCAGCCGACCGATGATGATGATGATGTTATTATAATAATAATGAAATAATGCCCCTAGGAAAGTCAATACAGTAAAAGTAGAGTGTAATGCTATCATGGTCTGGACTGTCATACCCAGCAGTAGACCAGTCCTAATGATCATCATAATAGAAAGCAGACATCCGTAACACCACCGTACAGTTGACCCACTGTGATCTAAGACTTCTGCCCTCAGCTGGACCTCATTTGTGTCAGTTTGTGTTCCTGATAGTAGACCTGTCAAAGGTGTTCTTCATTCTTCTCAAGGACACTCCAAGGTCAAGACTGTGGGGGTTGACCTTTCGGCCTCCGTGTGAGACAACCATTGATCTCTGCGGTTTTGTGTGACATTTATGTCATCAATTAACGCCAGTTAGGACGGTAAGGACCAATCGGAACCATCCTGTCACTAAAGCCCATGTCAGGACCTTCCCATGACTTTGCCCCTCACCCTTCCACAACCAAGGTCAGCCCTGGGTGGTAGATGTGTGAAATCCACCCTACCAGTATTCCAGCTCATGTTTGCTCCTTTGATTGCATCCAATAAGAGAAAGACGACTTTCCAGAACTTGACTGGTCAAAATTCATAGTAGTAGTCATACCATACCCTTCCATGCAAAACTTACCACTAGCACTGGGGTTTCCAGAGGTCACACACTTGGGTACAACACAGAAGTCCCAATCCAGCTTGGACTGCACATAGCACCAGGGACGGTCCAACAAGGTGGGGTCAGGGTTTCTGAAAATTTTGAAATAAAAGTATTTTACATCAGTCAACAATCATGACCTGGGGGAAGCAACTTGATTTGAGTGAACCACATCAGTAGCAAAATGAAGGATTCATACATGTATATTGAAGATAAACTTGAACAATGCAACATAATAAGGACCACCTGGTCATCATGGCCACTTTTTTTGTGGTTCCTTAGACTATTCTTCCATTAACCCAAGAATTAAGAATCCTGCCTATAGAGTATAGTAGCCACAATGTTTTCTGTGACCATTTCTTTTAATTCCCTTGTGTACTGTTCCACACAGTTTGTGCCATGGAGTTAACTGTGTAAAAAGCTGGCGGAAAAGGATAAAGCAAGAGGAAGGACACTGACCTGCAGTAGTTGTGTGGTCCAATGTAGTACTTTGCGAGCTGGGTGGGGAACTTGGCCATGTTGTAGAAGCGGTCCAGAGCCTGGTTCCAGGGTACACAGGTCTCCCCAGTCTGTGTCTTGGACACCGTTCCTTGGTATGTTTCTCCCCTCTTGGTGTAGCAGTTTTTGTCTGCAGAAAAACGATTAAATTACCAGTACATGAACCAGTGCAATCATAGTGGGCTGGACTTATGAGAAAGAGTATGGGAGTTGACTACATCCTGATGGATACCACAGTATACACCAAAAAATTTGGGAAGGATTTAAACTAATACCAATCTATAGCTACATGGATGCTCTGATATGGGTTACAAAGCGGACTATGTGTTGTTGCTGACCTGCGTTGGGGTCCGCCTGTCCTGGACAGACTGCTGCCACCCTCCAGTTGTTAGGATCCGGACACATGCAGGCACACTTCTCATCACGGTAGCCTGCGGCCGGACACGCCGTTGCACGGTTCGCACATTTCGCTGGATGGAAAAAGAGAGAAAAGGCAGACTTTGAGTTAGACCAACAGACTTTATTTACAGCCAAACCTCTACTAGTTATAATCACCTCAGCATGGGGACCACCTGGCCATTGTTTGGTGATCCTTACATTATTTTTGCCATTGATTCAAGCATGAAGACTTCTTTTTATATGTACATGTGTATGCACATGTCTACTGTTAACATTTTCGTAGAGTCCCTTGAATGGTCACTATCTGTAGATGGTCACTATATAAGGAGGTTTGACTATATGTACATAACAAACAACATCAATGTTGTATGATCATCTAAGAACACCTGCATGTTTACAGATGGACACATAATTATAATCAAATTTTGTAAATTTTCCAAACATGTAACATAAGTTAATCAGTGATGTCTTTGTATCCATGCACTGATGTGTTCCAATGAAGAATGGATCATGTACATGACGAGTCACATGCAGTCCAAAGAAAAAATTGTATTTGCATTGGTTTTCATATAAACAGGCTAGGGTTCAGTTTGACATGAATCTTTACGTCCAGGAAGTGAAACAAAGACTGACCATCACAGGTGTAGAGTTTGTTGACAAACTTGATGTCATAGTAGCTGAGGCTGGTGCGCTGGCCAAGCAGGTTCTGGAAGTACGGGTTCTTGGAAATGATCGTCTTGCGGTTAGCAGGGCTGGAGCTGTACGTCTGTAAAATAAACAGGAAGTTGAAAGTTTCAAGTGGGACCAATTTGTAAAAAGATCAATATATACATATACTTATACATAATAACGCATCTGGACATAATGCTGTATTAGTACATGTAGTTAAAAAAAATGTCAAGAACGTAAAAAAAATTTAAAGCCAGAAAATTGGCCAGAATAAAAAAAATTCTGCTGCAGTACAAAGAAAAGTCTTCAGCAGGTAAAAAAATTATGATTTTTTTCAATAGGTCATAACCTGTCCTAATAACATACAAAGTTTCTTAACAATCGATCCATAGCTTGTTAAGTTTTTCTGTTCAATCCCAAACACAACCATGATATATATTAATGTAGACACTGGTGAAGAAAATGTATTATTAAGTTCATTGACAAAAATTGCATAAACATTCTGATTACAAGCAAAGATGTTACCACCATGAGTTAATAAAAAGACACTAACCGAATCACCCCACATCATGATGGACAGGTAGTCAAATGGCACGCCAAACAGGTTGATCTGGGCTGCAGTTAGCTTGTTGAACTTGGATCTGTAGAAGATCATCAATAAGCCAACATGATTCGGATATACGGTCTCAAAAATTACATGCAAAATTATGATGAATTTAGACATTGTTATTTATTTTTCATAGACTCTATTGACAAAGTAGAGGCAAAGAGATGTGCCTGAAAAATGAGGCTACCGCAGTCTAGGCTATCACATTGTTGAATACACTCACTCACTCACTCACTCACTCACTCACTCACTCACTCACTCACTCACTCACTCACTCACTCACTCACTCACTCACTCTCCCATAGTTGAATACAGGAATGATAAAAGACTGTTCTTGGAACACTTCTGGTGTTTATTATTTAAGTTTGGGATCTTTTTTTTTTCTTCATGCTTTAGAATGACAACTTTCCACCTACTCATCTCCCTTCTTGATGTTCTCAGTGAGCACGATGACTCTCTGGTCGCGATCTGGCCGCGTGATCTCAGGAAACAGCCCCATGGTACTGCCCAGGAGATGTAGAGCTACAGCTGACTGAAGTGTTGGGAGGTAAAAAGGTAAAAACTCAACATTACAAATTCTGCTCATGAAAAGTTTAATGTAACTGTTAGATAATAATCTTCAGGCAGATGTTTTGGTGACCGCAAAAGACAGAATCAAATTGGCAACGCAGTATCCATTAGCCAGACAGGATCCATTGGACTCACTTGGTGGGTAATGGACACTCCTCTGGCCAGTGGATACTGCCTTGCCACCGTATGATCTGCTTGGAGATTAATTTTTATATAACTGTTTGAGAAATTTTATAATATCAACCAACTCATTACAATACCATTTGGTAACATTTCTTAATTTGTCAACAAACTCGTTGAGTTGAAAACATGAAGGAGAGCGAAACACACCGGGTCATTCTTGTAGCTGCCGTACATACACGAGTCTGAGTATGTCACTGCCTGTGAGCCAGTCCGCGCTCTGCCTGTCTTTGCCTCACAGTTTCTACAAAATAGGAAACAAATCAACAAATGTTAGCAATCAGCATGACGTATACATTGTAATTTAATTGTTTTCAACTGTTATAGCGACAGACTGACATCAATTTGCACTAATGATGATCTAAGCATATGGACCACCTGGTCATTGTGGCCATTGTCTATAATGACCACTTGTCTATTATGACTATATTCTCCAATTCCCATGAGTTACTATAATGGGTCTATACATGTGTATACATCTACATTAGTCATTCTTCACAGTATTCTATATATGTTTTTTTTATATTTCAACATTTCATGACTAGACATGGTGATGGCAAACTCAAGTTATATCAAATTATCTTATACCGTCATCAAGACAGGGGACAGATACAGGCAGGAAAATACTCATTTTCACATTTGAGTTACGTGAGTTCTATTAGTGTCCGTTCTTACGTTGAGTGTTTGGTGAATGTGATGTGGTCCTGATGTCCTAAGGCTGCTGCCAGTTGTGGTGTAAACTCTGCAAACTTCACACATGTCTGGGAACTCCATGTCGCCATGGCCTTCATCAGCTCTGCCTTATCTCTGGGTGCTACATTGGTCAGGAACAATCAGGTTTTCATACAAAACTATTGCAGTTATAAAGTTAGTTGCTATTTACAAACCAATAATATAAAACCAGTTATTATTATCATTATCATCATTATCATTAGCCTGATTAAATCGCTTTTGCCAGCCGCCCAACATCCAGCTGGCTTGGGTGGCGGACTATGTAGGGAGCCCCCCATTCCTGATCGCATTACTCCATCCAAGCTCTCAAGCTCAATCTCAATTTAAGCTCCCGTGATGTACAGTTGGGGGAACATTGTTGAATGTTTTGAAGCGTCTTTCTCACTCAGTACCCATTTGTTGAGTAGATTGGGTGTAATAATAAAAGATTGTGTCAGACTCACCTACGCTGGTGTCGAACCTGTAAGGGATTGTTCCTTGTGGCCATAACATCAGCGGATCCTTGGCAGCTTTCCTTTTTACCCTGGTCGACCTTGGATGCTGCAAATGGAACAAATCGACATCTAAGAACGTAGAATCATGTAATGGGTAAATGTTCTATAGCCCTCGGTAGGACGTGGGCATGGTACTGGAAGAAGGAGCCCATCCTTCACTTTCCACCGTCATTAACCTCCCCAACCGAAGTCTGGTACCATTTACACCAGGGTCACTGGGCCAGACATCGTGACGTTGCGTCATGTTACATCACCGTGATGACGTCACTATGGAACATTTCCCACGACATAGTAATCGCAGGGCAAAGGACCTCACATGCTTTTGTTTGTTTAAAGTGCTCAAAGGCAGACATGATCGTCTTGAGAAATATCAAAGCTGACGTGCTGCCTCGTGGTCTCATGTGGTTCCCACAGGTAAGGTGTGAACATACCAAGGGCTGGTTCCCACATTCCAGGGACATCTTACCTAGCACATACCTTTCTATGTTTATATGTATACAGAGGATTTGGATTTGACAATTGAGTCTTCGGATAAACACGAATGACTAAAGCTATGTGAAGTTCAAGACCTTGAGCTTTCCTCTAGAGGGCCCAGGAAAAGTTTGGGGTGTTTGGTGGCCCTGGGGTAGAGGAGAACCTTCTGCAGTCTTGCTCCTAAGCTATGTTAAATCTGAATCCGCAAAAAAGCTCCATCGCCATAATTCGGCTTTTCCCTTTGGCCTCCGTTTTAGCGATAATGACGGACACCTGAGCTGCATCTCTCGGGGCAAACGAGGTGACCACCGGTCTAAGTCAGCCCAGATGTCACTAAGGTCTTTGCAATGTCGGCACTTTTGGAGTGCGGGGAGGCACGGGGCCACTTATCTGATGGAGGATTCCCCTGCGGTAATTTGGCGGAGGTGTCTGACAACGATAACATGCTCCAGTGATGCCTGGAAGCCAGGCTGTTTCCAGGACTCACACAGGCCAGCTCCTCGGCTCTAAGGCCACCATGCCAGTGGCTTAGAGTCTGAGGCAAATTTATACCTTGGAAGCCCCGGAGGCGAGGAGCTGGCCTATGTGGGCCAGGAAGACAGTCTAACGTCCAGGCTAAACAATCTCTACAAATCAGAGATGGCGCGAAAGACATCTCCCCACTTGGTAGCCCCTGTGCATGTGGTTTGATATATATAGCAATAATCGTAAGCTTCAAAGTGGCTACCGTTCTTGTCTGGAACACATCACGCCACAAGCTAAATGAGGCGACAGGTCTTTCCTCCTCAAAGCCTTGTTTGGTCATTTAAAACCAAGCGCTTAACGCGAATCCTCTCCAGATCTGCTGACTTTTCTTGTAGAAAATAATCTGCTTCAGATACGCCCATGTCAAACCAGTAGTTTTCATTCGTGAAAATGTTCAACAGCTGCTGCGCATTAGAGTTGCCTCCTGGCGGAGAGCAAGGGAACGTCAACATCAAGGCTTACGCGTTTTCATCCTAATTCGTACTCCCCTTAGGTCATATCTTTTTTCTCTGGCAGTGGGACCTTTTCAAGTCACGATCCAGTCCTCTGGGTGTTTCAGTGTGATAAAGGGCATTTGAGATGATCTGAAATACTACCCAGATGTTCGGCCTATGGGCAGTGCAGATAATGTCGCAAACTCGCAATACGAAGGTGACGCTGTCACGCTGACGTATATAATGACGTTGGTTGCACACTAATTACCCACTGTTATTAACTTATTTGCGCTAATTGCTAAGCAGGGATAAATTTCAGGCTTATTATATTGATACTCATTTATTGATGCTTCATTTTCACTACTTAGGTGTAAGTCCAATGGTCCAATGGAACGAGCTGTTTCTGAAGATGGTCAAAGTTGAGATGGGCAGTGACATGACTTTATCATTAGCCTGCCTGAAACGTGCCGCTGTTACCATAAAGATTGAGTATAGAGCAACTTTAATGAATACAGAATGTACTACTGAAAACCCGTCGGCAGCTACAGTATAGCAACTCTAAGTGTCGTGCAAGAATTTAACATGTTTAGACTTTGGCTCTAGAGACATTGCAAAAGACATGAAGAGGATCAACTGCAGCTGCACACATGTTGGAAGATCTCTATCATCAGGACCTGTACGTCTGCAGACTGAAGTGTAGGTCACTGGGCCGATGTCTGCAACTCTGTTGATACAATTTGTAAGATGCAATTACATCTATTGAATTTCAGGGACGGTCTTCTACATGGTGGCCGTACAGGTCGGCGGGTCAGATCTGTCACTAATAACACAGATCAGGTACAGGTTTGTTCTCGTTATCCACATTTGTTGATCAGTGAGAACGAGACGTAAAACTGACCACAGTGCTTATCTCGGTCATTATTTTCGCCACAGGGTTCGTTTTGTCTGCCTGTAACGCCAACCCTTTCTGTTCTGGGCGTCCTTTTAATCCACACATATTTACGACCGTTATGAATACTTTAGAACATGTAGGTGAAAGGTTGGGCTCGTTACTAAGAACTTATTTTTCGTGCACGTGTTACAACTTCGCGTCCAATTAAGTCTTATCGGAGTTCATTACCGTTCGCTGTTGGTACCTGAGCATGGGTGGTGCGATATTAGATTAGATTTGTCACAACTGGCTGCTTTAAGGTCTTTTGACAACCTCCCAAGGCCGACATATCTGCCAGATAAACCATAATTACCATATACTATAGGTCAGAGTGAGAGACATCTGTCTCTGGTTAACCGGTTAGCCTTCCCTCCAAGATAAAAAGGGCAAAAAAATTCAAGACGGTCCCTTTGAACGACGTCAGAAGAGAGCTGCACTGCTTCGGGTCGATTCCCGATACTTTTCTACAAAGACTTGTAGGTGGTTTTTGATGGTCTTGTAATTTGGAAGTAAGTAGGCGGTCAACAAGTTTAGGAGCACGGTTTATGGAGTTTTGTGGATTTTTATCATCACTACTTTCCCGGCAGCTGTGTGGTCTGACTCTGAAATGGTGTTTACATCTTTAGGTAAATGAGTTGATGAGGCAACCAAGGTCTGCTCTGAATGAGGTCACGAACGGCATTGTTTGATAGTACATTTTCGTTTGCAGAACTGAAGAAGGGCTTTTTGCGGCCAGGTATCCAGCCGTGTCCAGCTTACGGACTGGGTCCTAACGATCTGAGTTTGCCAGGACTAGTTAGGAACCGGGAGGTAAGCTGAACACGGCTGGATACCAGGCAGATACCAGGTAACCTTTCTTGATGCCAATTCACTGCTCCTGTAAAATCGGAATCCCCGAGCGATGTCTTTCCATGGTACGTGACATCATCACAAATACGACTTGCCGCATGACCTGCTCCATCAAATCTGTGACCGTACTTGTGCATGTTGTCAGGGATAAGCTGGATGTTGTCGGCGGGTTGTATCGTAAAAGGGAAATGGGCTCGACGGTTGTTGGTAGTAGGCGAGGGGGCCAGGCTACCTGGGTATCTTGCGGTTGACCAATAATATGAAATCGAGCAAGAAATTTATTACAGAGCATAAAATAACAGATTACAGTTCTACCATATAAGTAGACTTATCTCCGGCATTATTATTATAGCTGCTCTTAGCTCTCCGTAGATTACACAACTTTGTCCTGAAAGAAGCACAAATTAGAATCGGACGAGGCAAAACACCCAGGTAGGACGTTCTTCGAGAATGCTTCAATACACAAACCTTTGCAGCATTGTGCATTGAACCATTCTCAATATCATATGGCGGTTAACGCTGACAGTTGACATAATACTTAGTATTTCTGCAGCTACTCAAGGTGTCTAGATGATCTGTTTGAGACTAGGCTGATTGTGGTCTCATTAGCCTGTGCTCTCTGATGAGAAGAGATGCTCCTTCTTTTCATTAGTACCGCAAATGCGAGCCACCTGCTGCCCGCCAGGGTCGCGCTGAGCACCGTTCGAGGAGATGCCGGATGACACAAGACAAGGTCTTCGGTCGCCTAGGGTGTCATGGACAGCAACTTTTGAACTGAACGTCCTTCGGAGCGGGACGTGAGGTACGAGGAAGCAACAGGCAGGCGTCATATCTCTGTGATTGAGAAAATTTTTGGCCACATGCTCTCTCTACTGTCACTCGATGACCATGACCAATGACCACATTACCGTAACTGGCAGCAGTTTTTTTCCTCATTACACATCGAACATAGCACATTTGCCTTTTTAAAATGTTATAATGTGGAGGACACTGAGCAGAGACGGGGGGCGACACAGGTTATATATCTGGCACGTATGACTGCTGCAATCACGTGTTCTGACGTCACGGAACCTGTAGTAGACGGGTCCATTCCTTGAACAAGGCTGACGGAGTTACTAGTAGCCGAAAATTTGGGTAAGACCTAATTTACTTAGTGTTGGACATAACGGTCAGCCTTTTCGTCATGATGAAGTATACCAACATAGATGAACTTTCATGCTATGTGCAGAATTTGATTAAGGCCATTAGAGTGACGCATGACCTTGGATACAGCCTGTGTCAAGTTTGACCAGACGCGGCATCAAACAAAATGGCCGACGGCATTCATCAATGTAGTGATCTTACTCAAGTGCAATCACTCTTCATTCGCTGGGCGCATCTTAGTAGACACACAGTATTTCTAAAGTGCTAACCAGGCTTAGCAAAGATCGAACCTCTTCATCCTGTAGTGACAGGGTCATCGTAAGCCCCATTTCAAGCAACTATTGGAGATGGTAGGGAATCCAAGCAGACGTAGAGATGGGATGAAATCGTCATCCATTTATCACATTTCTTTTCAGCCTAATCAAATCACTGTTAGCTGAAATTTATGGACCAGAGCTAGGAAAACAACTTCATGATTTCGCTAAAATCCTATCTGTCCCTTGAGGCCAGGCGAATAACCGAAGAACGACAGAGGCGTTCCCTGAAACTCCCTTGCTTCTGGGTAGTAGCCTGGTTACCAGACCTGTTTTAGCTCCCTCAGGCTTTGCGAAGAGGATGTAGGACTCGGGAGCTATAATAGGTTTGGCATGGTAAGCAGACTATCTGCGTAGCTCTCTTAAGTCTATAAGT